AGGTGATCCTCCGAAACGCATGCAAATCTTAGCACGAACCAATGCGTGATCAGAGTCCAGAAAAGTTGACCAGTACGATCGGCAGTCCATTACGCTTCCGCGCCATCTGTAGCTGATTGCTATGTGGTCAAGCTGGGAGCACTCTTGCGTTTGTGAGGGCGGGCGCCAGGTAGCAGTCTGTCTCCTCGAGTGTCGAAAACTAGTGCTCGAAAGAAACAAGCGATGATCAGAGCAAAGAGCAAGTAGTCTGTCTCCATTGTCTGATCGACTGCCACCGAGACCAAAACTACCCCCAATGTGGTGCTCGCTTGGTAGAAGGCGGCCAACCCGTGCGTTAAAGTCCCCGGCAAGAATGACTATATCCGTCCGTTTGGAGGAACGCAGAAGTTCATGTAGTGGTTGGTAGAAGCTATCTTTAACTGCATTCGGGCTGCAGTCTGTAGGGGCGTAGGCGGAGACGACAAAGCATTATCGTCTGTTCAATTCTGTCAACTGGGACTCATTCAAGGACCTGGTTCGTTCGATGAATTGGGATAAATTCTTTCTCTCTTCATGCCCTCAACATGCGACGGACCTGTTTTATAGTATAATCGGCTTCTGCATCGATTCAGCAATACCACTAAAATGTGCTTACCAAACCAAACCCAAATCCGATCGCAAGGCATTGAAGGCAGCGCGAAAGCTTCATAAGATTCGTCAGAAATTCAAGTTAACTGCTGACTTTGCGCTATTATTACAGCAGTCGAAGCTCGTGGAAGAACAGAGGCATCAACGAGACAAAACTCTCATTCTAGAAGAGTATAAAGCTCTGAATGGCCCTAGCAAAACAGCTGAGCTAGCCAAACTATTCCGTGCCCGGGGTTCGCGTTGCAGTGACAATCTCAGTTTTATCACCACGCCTGATGGAACATACTACGACGCACCAGATGATATCTGCGAAGCTTTCAGTGCTTATTTTGCCGAATCAATGCTCACTGAATCATCAGACACACCAACATTTATCACGCCGCAAAATAATGAAGGTCTATACACAGTAGAATTCACTATAGCGAAAATCACTAGTCAAGTCGCTCGCTTATACTCCTCAACGTGCGCAGGCCCTGATGGACTACCCCCATGTTTAATAAAACGCAGTGGTAGTGACTTCCTTCTGTTTTTGCTCAACATCTTCACACTCTCTTTTAACAACGGAGTATACCCTACTCAATGGAAAACGTCTGTTGTTATCCCGCGACATAAAAATGGCAATGCCCATGAGGTTAAAAACTTTCGTCCCATAAATCACACACCCATCGTATCTAGAATAATGGAAAGGATAGTAAAAGATGAACTATTTATATTCTTGAACAAAGCTAACATTATCAGCAATTCGCAACACGGCTTCATGCAAGGTCGATCCTGCGCAACATGCCAGACTGACTTTTTAAACCACACAACGGCTGCCATTGACAACGGAAACAGTGTCGTAATCCTGTTCCTGGATATGCAAAAAGCCTTTGATAGAGTGCCTCACAGAAGGTTACTGGAAAAACTGAAGGCTATAGGCATTAGAGAACCGATGTTCTCTTGGCTGTCTTCATATCTAATTGGTAGACAGCAGGTTGTGCGCATAGGCGACCATTTCTCTACACCGAAAGCAATCACTAGTGGAGTGATTCAAGGGAGTGTTCTTGGTCCACTTCTTTTTCTAATTTATATTAACGATATATTCCAGAGGATAAGAAATGGTGTTGCATTTATCTTTGCTGATGACATTAAAGTTGTCTACTCACAACCGCGTGCAAATACTCAGGAAGCCGTACGTCTCATTCAGGATGACCTATCCGCCCTTGACTCCTGGTGCCAACTGTGGCAGATGTCATTTGCCGTGGACAAGTGTAATATTTTGTCGTACAAATGCCAAGTACCGCCAGACAGTTTATTACTACAAGGTGCCTATATCTCGCAATGCAGGACAATTCGCGACTTGGGCGTGCGATATTCAGTTACGTTTAACTTTTCTGAACACTGTGACTTCCAAGTTTCGAAAGCCATGAAGACCATTGGTTATATCTGCCATCATTTTTACCTCACGGAATCTCGCATATCCCTTTACAAAACATATGTATTGCCGTGTATGGAATACTGTTCAATGATACAGTCTAATCTACGGAAGTCTGACCAGCACGCTCTTGAGAGGGTCCAGAGACGCTTCACGAAAAAGCTATGTGGATATTCCTCAAAGTTGACATACAAGGAGCGATGCGATACACTTGGATTTGACCCAGTTTGGCTTCGGATAATGAAGCTGAACCTATGTTTTCTGTACAGAATCATAAATTGTCAAATTCGCAGTCCTGAAAGCGGTGTTCACATATCTGTAAACAACAGATACCCAATACGTAACAAAGAGGTAAAGGTCATGATTCCAAAATTTTCTACGAGAATCAGAGAACGTTTCTTTCTAACCCAATACTCAAAGATTTGGAACAAACTTCCAAGTGATATCAGAACATGCTATACGCTTTTCAATTTTAAGCTTGCTATTAGTAAGCATTTAACCGTCCAAAACGTGATTAAGATGTTCGGGACATCACAGTCCCTAGATAACGCATTCGAAAACGGTATCCATGGTGCCTGAATAAATTTCTGAAACACATACACATAACATCTCGGACAACAGCCCCTTTCATTACATTTTTTTCTCTCGGCCCAAATATCTATCATGTGATTGTAAAGAATCCTGATTCAGTGGCAGGTAAAAATAGCAGAACGATTCTGATTACTCTGTGTAACATAATTTGCAATTGCATCCATGTTTTTCTCTGAAAATGTATTGATGAAATGTCATGGAAAAGTTGTACCATTATTTGATCTGTTCCTTATAGAGAACAGCTTCTCGCATAGTCGAGGAATATACAATTTATTTATTTATTTATTTATTTATAAGGCACGCTTAACATCTCGACGCCTGCTTACGTTACATGAACCTCTTAGTCTGACTGCACATAGTCGGCTGTTGACTGGGATCCAGTCAAGCAGAGCTGATTCAGCCCTGGCACTTAATACAACCCCAACACCAGCTTGACCAGTGGCGGCAGATTCTGGGTCTCCGGAAAGCCGCAAGTAGTATTTGGCGTCAGAGTTTACCGGAGAGGCCATTCTGATGACGGCGCTAGAGTCTTGTAATCTGGTCTCTGAAAGACAACAGATGTCTACCGATAGCGTTTCAAGAGTACGGGCCAGACATGCTTGTCGTCCGATCTGCATCAAAGTTCGAACATTAAACGCTGCGAGGATGAATGGAGAACCAGGTCGGAGAAGAGCTGGAGCTTCGGTGGAGTGAGAGGCGGTTGCGATCGCAGGACATGGAGAACCGGGAGTTTGGCTGTTACTTCCATCAGCTGCGAGACGTGGGTCGTTTGTGACGGTGACCGTAGAAGACATAAGAGTACATGTAGATGAAGGACGGGAGGTGGGGTGGTCTGTGAGTGGACGTTGAGCGGTTGAGTTAAGACAGAAGAGCGGCATAGCAGTAGTAGTAGTGAGCGGTGAAGTCCATGATTCGTCAGCGGGCGTGATACTACCCGGTTGCCCAGGCCGAAGTAGAGGGTTGTCTTAGGGGGCCCTACCCCGAGCCTTTGATCAAAGATCTAACCCGCGAGACCCAGGGAACAACGCACTCCAGTGCACGTTCCGAAAGACCTTTCTACATGTTCTCGCGTATTCTTACGTGTCGACCAAGTGAGACAGCCCCTCTCCGCACCTTACACAGGTCCATACCGTGTTATTAAACGGTCTTCAAAAACTTTGGTGATTGACCGTGGGGGTAAAAGGGATACTGTCTCGATAGATCGCGTCAAGCCTGCGTTCATCGATGAACAACAGTTGGTTCCATCATCGACCTAAACGCAATCTACAGAGCCACCTGTAACGACGCCCAGCTTTTCAGCTCCACCACAATCCCAGTCACCAGATTCGCCTCAAACTAATACCAGTCACGGTAGAAGGGTTCGTAAACCTGTTCGTTTCTCCGATTTTGTCGAACTCATCCATACCTCATGAATCTTTTTCATTTTCTCTCATCGTTTATATTATGCTTTTCCGTTAGCAGAGTACATATCGCAATCTGTCCCCGAGTTTTTTTCCCCATCTATCAGATAAAGTCATGAGGCTGGCACGTTTGGGTCCGTCCGTTCAATGGTTGGCTGTTTTTCAATTGTTTTGATCGTTTGGATGCTTTGGTCTACCCCCAACGCTGTCATCTCGCCCGCCCACGTTGGCCTTTGGATCGTGGTCTGCTTGGCTCAATTTGGCTCGCCTTGGTCATTTGTCTGGCTCGCCTTCCTGGCTTTGGCTGCTCGTGTGCCTGGCTCGTTGTTTTTGGCTCCCCACGGCTCGCCAGTACGAACAGGATTTCAGCTTCGTTGTGGCAGTGGATTGGAATGCGGTGGGGGGAGTGACCTCTCCCAAGCGCACCGTCTTTCAGCAGCGGTGAAAGGTCCTACCGGCCCTTTTTCTGGATTATCCAGTATTTTTGTAGTCCGGTGTGCCCGCTGGGACGGCCCACCGATGATGCATTCCAATCCACAAGAAGATTAAATAATCCAAATACAACCGAACTCCTGTGATTCTGCCTTTATACATTTGCAAGCCAACAGCGATCGAAGTCCTCGTCCCTCGGCCTTCTAGGGGGAGGCCTGTGTAGTGACCATGACATTTTACCCCATCAAACATCACATTCAGACTTGTGCACATTTTGTTTTACTTTGCACCCATCCCAAGCCTATATATACTGGACTGCAATTTTGAACCGGGTTCGCCATTTTGTCCGCGCGTTGCCGTCTGTTGCGTTCCTTCGTGGTGTTACTCATTGCTTCACCACTCTCTCCCATTGTCCTCAAGCTATATTCACATAGCTATTGTACATAGCTATTTTCTCAAGACAATCTTTATATCCCACCGTCTTCTGTCTCACCGGGCTACGGTTTTCTTGTGTAGCATTCGTCAAGCCGCTACACGTTTCTGGTTCCATGATCGGCGACTGTAGTAGGAGGTGGCTCATCAGAGATCCGTAGTGCTTGCTCCGGTTTACCCGTTGATAAAATCCGGCAGCATGGAGGAACTGTGGGCAACGTATTCAGGTTGTCGGGGGGACAGGTGCGACACAGGTCTTCTACTTGGTTGGTCGTATTCTTTGGATGGTCGCCGAGGGATATCGCGCTGCACTTCCTGGCTCTTCTAGCAGTAGGAACGGATGAGCATCTCTCAAGATTCTGAAGCGGCGGTCGTCTTGCCAGTGCAGCTGCATCAATGCAATACCGACAGATGCATAACAGGCCTTTGTGTTCAGCGTAGATCTTAAAAAGCGAATCCGTAAGTTGCGAACAACGCTTGTGACCACAGGCCCAGGATTTACAAGCGATACACTGAATGCCCTGAGTAACCAGTTTTGAGCAGTGTAAACAGAGTGAGTTGGGCATGACGAAATCCGAAGCAATAGCTAACCTTGAAACAATGGCTGTAGAAACAACGGAAGTCAGCATGTACTACCCAGATATACGATCCCTCAGGATAAATTGAAAGCAAATGTTCACGACCCGAGAACTAAGAAAGGACGACGCTATCCGCAGTTGGCAGCGACGGAGATATCACTGGAGAGCGCGACGAGATATTCCACAAGACCACAATTTCAGTGAGAGCCACGAACAGAGGACAGTGTCAAAAGGCTTGGCCAAGTCAATGAACATCACATCGACCGCATGTCCATTGAACTTAAACTTGAACTTGTCTACGGCTTCAGCGCTGCTCTCACGAGCTACCAGCTAGTTAGTTTGACACGAATATCTTTTGAGAAAACCAAGTTAATCAATGTTACGCAGGTTAAACCTATTCAAATAGTTCTGCACTGGATCTCGTACTAATTTTTCAAGTAACGTAATCAGGACAGATGCCTCAGCTGGCAATGTGCATCCGCCCACATCCTTCAGAGCACTTCAGTGCTTTTGAACGAGTGGTGGCACCTTCACACAGGACAAGCGCGGACGCCATAGAAGATGAAGTACAAATATTCACTAATTATTTCTCCAAAAACATCTTGAATCTTTTCTTCGCCCAGAAAGCAGTGGAACGGAACACAAAAGAGGACGTCGCTCGGCGGTACAGCACGTCAGGTCAGGTCAGGTCAAAATCCGTGGACGATACAGGCTTCCGCCTAACGAGCGTCCAGCTTCTTGTACCGGTAAGCGAACCAGAGCCCCCGGCACTTCGACTTTTGATCGCCTCTCCTTGCCTCTGCAAAAAGAAATGAAGCAAAAGCGAGAGCAATCTTTGCTTTTACAAGGATCAACATCGGATAACAATGCGAATAAATTGGATAGGATTATATTAATTCCGGAAAAAATACGCGGCCAGCATCTGTCTAGGCCTGTTTTGAAGGCAACCACAGTCTCACAGCAAGTTCAAGTTCAAGCGGGACTGGAACGATAGGATAGATCCCGTGAGTGTTCCTTCTTCGGCGGGTCGTTGAACCAGGAGTTGGCGAACTTTGAAATACTGATGGACCTAAAACAAAGACCGCATCACACCCTGTCCAACCAATTAATGCCCACGTATCCTGCCCTAGCAGTCCCTGCTGGGTCGGTTACGTGAAGTAAGAAAGAGAAAAAAGTAAACGCAGGAGGCAAAAGAGAAAGTGGTAAGAGCTAAGCAAGTGGAATACCAAGATATTTGAGTCAATAAAAAAGAACTGAAAAATGAAGGTGAGTCAGCTAGGAAAAAGGAAAGGTTTGCTGTTGCCACCCAAGAGCATCGAGCTGGCGCGCAAAACCCTTAACCGTAGGTTCCCTAACCACGTGATCTGGAAGAGAATTCCAGCGATCTATAACTCGGCGCGATAGACGAGTTTCCGTCCTAATCCTATCAGACCGTGGTTTATGCAGTTTCAGTGGGTGACCGCGGAGACTAGGTAACGTAGCGGGACTAAATAGCCCTGACAAGTCCGGGCCAATCTTACCCGTCAAAATACGATAAGTGAGAATCAGGTCCCCTCTTATCCTTCGGTAGTGCATGGAGTACATACCCAAACTGAGCAAGCGTTCAGGATACGTCTGTCCCCGTAGACCCTGCACTAACCGAGTGCCCACTCGTAACACCCTCTCCAAGTCCATTTTGTCTCGGTTAAGACATGGTGGACAAGCCTGAATACAATATTCCAGGTGGGGTCGGACGAATGCCGAAAATAGCTTCACAAACAACTTGGCCGTTAAGATTCCGAAAGAGCGGCGGATAAACCACATCATACGAAACCCTCGACAAGCAGCCTTCTTCCAGTTGTCTCCAGAATGAAGTGCTGATGCGTGTACGACTCCTAAATCAACCTGCTGAGTGACAACAGGGAGTTCACCACCGCCGAGAACATATCGGGTGGGAGGATTAGCAGCTCCGATTCGGAGAACAGAGCACTTGGCCCTATTTATGGGCATCAACCATAAGATAGACCATTCCCAGAGTCTATCCAAGGCACGCTGAATTGCCTCAGGACCCCCCGGGATATCCACAATATTCCAGAGCTTAAGGTCGTCAGCAAACATTAATGATGACACCCCTAGCTCTCCCGGCAAGTCATTTACATAGATCGCGAACAACAATGGCCCCAATACCGAGCCCTGCGGAACGCCACTAAGGACAGCTTGCCTGAGCGAAAGGCTACGCCCCACCCGTACGCACTGTTCCCTCCCCTCAAGGAAGGCAGACACCCATTGAAGGGCGCGACCAGATATCCCGTAAGATCTCAACTTTAGTGAGAGCCGAAGATGTGGAACAGTGTCAAAAGCTTTCGAAAAATCTACGAATAGCACGTCTACAGCGTGGCCACTGTCTACCGCTTCGGCCCAGCTTTCACGAGCTACAAGTAAATTAGTCTGACATGAAAATCCTTTGCGGAATCCATGTTGTGCAACACTGAGAAGGTTGAATCGATTCAGGTGGTTCTCCACTGAATCCCTTATCAGCTTCTCGAACAACTTGACTACTACGCTTGTCAAACTGACAGGCCGGTAGTTCGCGGGTAGAGCGCTGTCACCGCCCTTAAAAATCGGAGAGATGATTGCCTCCTTCCATTCCGAAGGTAGGCTGCAGCTGTCCAGCGATATTGAAAATACGCACGTGAGCGGACCACTCAGCTCAGTGGCCAGTTCATGCAACAGCTTCGGATGAATTGAATCAGGACCGGAAGCTTTAGAGGGATTAATGCCTTGCAGTAGCTCGAAGACCTGAGTCTCCGTTATGCTAAATTCAGCTAAGCAAGAATCCTCTGGAACTCTTGAAACCAATTCAACCTGCGGTAAAGAGGTCTCCCGAGCAAAGACCGCAGTATACTGATCACTCAGTATACAAGCCTTGTCATAGTCAGTTTGCGCACGGGTCCCGTCTGCTCGCAATAAAGCTGGTATAGACAATTTTGCCCCGCTGCGTCTTTTAACGTAAGCAAAAAACTTCTTGGGATTAGCTGCGGCCGAGTCCGCTAAACCCTGCTCGTATTGGAGACGAGCAGTTCTGAGATGTTGCTTACATTTATTTCTATTCTCTCGATAACTATCATAGGTACTGGCTGATGGAGCTGCTTGGTAGGTTCGCCAGCATCTAGACCGTTTCTTGAGTAGGTACTTGCCTGTGGTATCTATCCATGGAGGCTGTGCCCTTAACCCTCTTTTCCTAATGAGTGGAATATAGGGTGCGGAAACCTCCGTAAGGTATGCCTTAAATTTATCCCAGGCTAACTGGACAGAGTCAGCCATCGAGATCTCACAGTTCAGAACTGAAGCCTTAGTTCGCATTGCACTAAAGTCCGCCCGCCAAATATTCGGAAGTAATTCAACAGCGGTCTCTTGGTGCCTTGAAAGAGCACATCGAAAGGATATGCATGCGTGATCGCTGGACCCTAGAGGTGCACCGCATGAAACGTCAGTCACGAAGTCCAGGGACTTAGCGAAAACCAAATCCAAAGTAGATGGCATTTGGTTGTCCATATACCTAGTGGGAAAGTCAACGAACTGGTGCAAAGGCACTTGGAGAGTCAGTTCAAGGAAGTCTGCACCGAATGTTCCTAATGCCGAATTGCAAGAAAGATCGGCCCAACAGACTTCCGGGAGGTTGAAATCCCCTAGAACTAAACACTTATTCGCAGACTGAGTGCGAATAAAATCAAGTATCCCCCTGGAGGAACTTCCAGGACTTCTGTATACCACTATAACTGTAAACTGGGTAGAGGAAGTGCACAAAACAGCCGATAGGGCTTCAACAGTCTGATCCGACGACTGGAATGTGCAAGTCCTCAACACATCTAAGTTACAGCTCACATACAGTACAACGCCTCCGCCTTGGCGACCAACGGAGCGATCAGTTCTAAGCAGCGCGTAGCCAGGTAAACATACCTCACCGTCCGTGATATCCGGAGACAACCACGTCTCAGTGAAAGCAAGTATGTCGGGACGAGATTTGTCTACAAGTAGACCCAACTCGTGCACCTTGTTCCTTAGGCTACGCACGTTGCTAAGTACTACCTCAAGGAAGTCGGCACGACCATCCCTGGGTCGTGCGCCATCAGGATTGGTTCTGATAGGGCGGAAAGTAATTTCCGGCTGACCACCTGAAAACCCACCAGACGGAGGCCTTGTTCACCAGCCGCCCGTCTAGTTTTGAGGTCTTTGATAGCCTCCTTTAACTTCAACCTATCTGCCAGTGGGAGGTCCGGCTGAACGCTGACACCACTACCCTTAAGTTTGAATGCAAATCGCAGTAACGATTTGCGTTCCTCCGGGGTAGAAAGGACTACGCGAAGTAGTCGGGGTCGTGGATTTGGCGTAGCGATAGGAACGTTCCCCAATCTGGTCAGCTTTCTGACAGTGACACCAGGGAAACCAGGTGGAAGCAGCTTGCTGACACACAGTTTCAGCCACTTGATGTCATCCAAGATGCGTTCCCTTGGGAGAACGGCCTCAGATTCAGTAACGTTACGGAATATAACGCTACTATCCGTGAAAGAGTCGGCACGACGGGGAGTGTTTACCCCACGTGCCTTGGATTCGACACCTATACCAGCTGTTTTCACCACTGGCGGTGGGACTGTCGCTGGCTTCCCAAACGACGCCGAAGCAACGGTAGCGTAGGTTTTCCGCTCTATTGCCGGCGTCTTACTGGTTCCAGGGTCTTCAAGCCCCTTCGAAGTTTTACGAGCAGATCTTGTCCGCTTCTTCTTTTGGCTCACTGGAGCAGGGGCCGTTGACTTTGTATCGCATTGAGCAGTTACCAGCATTTCGTCAGAACAGGCTGGTTCACTGGCGGCCGAGACAGTCAGCGTCTGTGGAAAGTTCTGTGTGCAATCTTCAGACGACTTTACGACTGTCAAAGACGGCATCTCTTTCGATGCCGTGGCAACTATTTCTCTGGGTTTAGCAGAGGGCTTTTGGTATTTCCGCACCCTATTTTTCTTCACTTTGATCGGATCATGAGGACCGCCAGCAATGCTACCTGGATTGGCCGGTAGGATGTGCGACTTTATGATCGAGTGACAGACTCCAGTGGATGGATCGTCAGCAATGTTGCCGGCTATTGCTGTGTCTTCAAACGAAATATTTAGGGATTTTAAAATTAAATCCATTTTCGTATCGAGCGACGCAATAGAGGCGAGTTTAGCTATCGCCAACTCAACATCTGCCAACCTTGAAGCCAACGCTGAAAGTTTAGCACCGGTGACAGCCGGGCGCGTCGATCTTTTAGCGCAGCATTCAGCGCAGCTGAAAAGAAAGTGGACGCTTGATGATAGCATTTGGTACTGGTCAGCTTGTAGGCCGGTACAGCTTTCGTGATACCAGCGGCAGCAGACGTCACACTGCATACCACCAGATGCATCTGTTACTGGCTCTGAACAGTTAACCTGTCCGCAAGCTGCAGTAGACTCATCAAACGAGGACCCCATAGGTCCATCCGTCTCGGTGTTTAGCGAGACAGCCATGTTCACGTGGAAAACAGATTAGAACTACAACACGTATACAATAGGAAAAGGACCGCAATAAAAAGACAAAAACAGGGTGCAAAACGGGATTAAAACTGGGAACAACCGGAAAAATTACCACCCTGCTAGCACAAAAAGGACTTTGAAATGACTTTGAACCGTCAACTATAAACCTGAATTCATGGTTAAGGACTTTTGCGACCATTTTGAAGGCGAAATTTGTCCTTCCACTGCAGCTGCATTAAGTACACAGTGAAGGACTTTGCACCCTGTCCAATCAAAAACCTAGGTTAAACAGTGAATGACAGACAGACTGGCGGAGTATGAATGGTCATTGACGGTTGACCTTGGACGGTGTGGACCAATGGCCGTGCACGCACCACGACGCTACGCACGCACCTAGCCGGTACCCCTGTACGCCGCACCTAGCCGCAACCCCTATACGCCTCACCTATCCGCAACCCCTGTACGCCGCACCTAGCTGCAGCCCCTGTACACCCCACGTATTGGCTACCCACCCAAGCTCGCACACCGCTGGAAGGGGGATCTCAAATCCCCACCTGCGTTTCCCGTTAATAATAATATGTAACGCAGGTATTACTACCGCTTACTAATGCAAAGTAAATGTGCGAGTCATAGCTAATCGCCCATATGACCTCTTTTCTCCTGCGGCGTAACATCCTGCTGCTACTGAATGGAGGAAACCATGTTTAACACGGCGCACAGGGTCCAGTCCCACTACTCATAGTGATGCCTTAGTATTTCATTCCCAATAAGCACAAAGATAGCGGGAATGGAATCCGATTTTTTCACAGTAAGAAGTCCGTTTACCGACGCATAGTAGTGGATACATTAAATGGAAGGACATCAATATTGACAACAGAGGTCCATGTTCCGTTTGAATCGGTTACGCTTCTTCCATGCTGTCTCATGGGCGCTCCAAGTCCACGAATTGGAAAACCTTATTTAAGAAATGTTAATAAGTAATCCAACATTTCATACCTGCTGGCTGCTTGCACAACCTTTGGTAGTGTCGCGCCATGCGTTGCCACGAATCGATTTCAAGTATTTCCTGACATCATCATCAGGTGACACAATACTTCCGGAGAAACGTTTTAATAGAGCAGCTACGACGGGGATGAAAGGGCAAAGATGTTGCTTACCTTGCACTTCGGTGAATAGCTTCATCTTCCGGAATCCGTGTTTGTTGCGGAGACAGGAGTAATTGATCTCCGCCATCAATGACCGCGTTAGAAGACGCTGCATCATGAGGCGTACAGTCTCCGACAACGTGTCTCCATGCACACCTTTCAGTTTAGACTGCATGCATATGTGAGGTATCAAGGAATCTTACCAATTGTTGAATGCATCCTGCATTAGTATAACAAATGACTGTAGTTCCTCCACCGATGTAATTTGCGAAGGAAGCGGCGTTGCCTGCTGCCCTGTTTGCCCGGCAATGGTTGCAGCCATCGATCTCATGTAACTCTTCACATACTCCAGTGTCTCCATATGTATGTATTCTCAACAGTCTATTAGGTAGACACTGAACATTACCTGAAAATGTATACCGTTTTAGGAATGTAGGAAGTTACCATCTATGAACTCCAGTTTATTCTTCAGTTGGTCCATATCGCCTGCAAGAAAATGGTAAAACCTCAAGTACATGCTTACGGTGAATGCCATTCCAATCGCTTGTAGGAACGGTGATGAAGGAGGAGTCAGGTAGACTCTAGGACTAGGACACTCAAGCTACAAAGTGTAAGCACCAATCGGAATCCGTTTTCCGAATCTGTTCGTTCGAATTTTTATCACAGTGAGATGCAGTATTGTACGCTGAAGTTTAATATTAAGAAAAATGTATCCCTTACCTGTATAAGCTGGTTTGTATCTGCCCATGTTGTATTGCTGGGAAGACGACTGACGTGGGTTTTACCCATCGAGCGGGACAACTCAGTTAAAGAAAAGATAGCTAGAGAGCCATAGAGAACGGCTGTGGGGACCATGCGCTTCCTGGAGTGGCTCAAAGTCATCGGCAGTCTGCAGACTTCGGTGTACCTGTATGTTATTGGTGCACAAACGCCCTGTTTTTTCTTATATGAGGTAATCAGCAATAACTTAGGGAGATTATAAATTACCGGTATGTGGTAATGGTTCACATTTTTTAGGCGTTAGGATCTCATTTTCCGTAACCTCCACAGGACAATCTCTTTGATCAATTTGTCCGAGGCATGTTTTCGCGCGCAAATACCGATCCCGCGCGGGCAATTGTCGGTTTGTACACCGAGGTCTCATTAATAATGCTGAACATCAAAGGTTATGTTGAAGATGGCGACGTACATACAAAAAGATCTTGATTAATAGAAACACCGAAACGTCGTGCAATATCGTCACCGATATTACTAAGCGAATGCGCCCCGCAAAATAGAAAAGAAGCTCACAATGAAGCTATCTACGTAGAGTACAAGTAATTGCGCAAGTGAAGATAACAATGCGCAAACTGTGCGTTGGGCGATAGCAGCTAGGGCAAACCAAGGACAAAGCTTGAGAAATGAAATCAAGCTGAAAAGTTCATTTTTGCAATACTGCAATGAAAACACATATAGTGCTTCTTATATCTAACTCACGTCGAAATGGCTTACTACCAACTCAAACTATTTCTCCGCTATCGAAAATGCACAACGAAAAATAGAAGTCCACCACGGCGAAGCAGAATTTACAACCAAACGGAGCAGTGCCAGAGGAAGCAGAAAATTTAAAGGCGCGGCAAAATTCAAAAGGTGGGTCGATGACTCTTTTTAAGAAATCATATAGGATTTTTTGACAGAATGAAGCAACTAACCAATGTTATGCTTATACTTTAGTTAACGTAACCTACACATATATGTGCACCCCTTGCTGGAATACGGCGTAGATCAAGTTGCCGCCCATATATTACTGAAGGAATTTGAAGGGCTTTTGAAGGACTTTGACGACCGAAAAAAGGACTTCATGTGCTAGCAGGGCAGTAAGCGCCAAAGACGCTTGGGCCAGTACCAATTTAATCGATCCAAGGTTTCTTGAATCAGAGAAAATTGGAAAATAGTCAAATTTCGTTTCAAGTGTTTATTCAAACACTGTTTTCCACGTTATTTCAGCTGAAAAGCTCGATCATTATCGCACGCCAAAAAATCGAGTTACCGCGTAGTACTCACAGAGCAAAGTTGTGAAGTAGTGAAAGTTGGACAATCGAGAGTTGAATTCCGGCATGCTGCAGGACATTTACAACTAGCTGGCGGTGTAAACTGCTGAAAGCATTACTGTAATCACGACATTGGTGGCTAGTGACAACAGCATGGAATTCACAAGATAGGCTAATGCGACTCCAGTAGACTTCATACTACCACAAGGATACGTTTGCGAATCAACTGTAGGAGTCTGATTCATCAACTGTTCAAGCATAACCGTTAATATCCGCAGATTTACGGGGTTCAGGTAATGGGTCTGTATTTATTTGAGCCTAAGATACTATTTTCATACCTTAATAGTTCTTCTAAGACGGGCTGTGGAATTCCTGCATTGTCTACTAATGAGCCAGGTATGATGCACTATGATGATGACGCCAAAGCTGACCTCTTGGCTCTACAGTTCTCCTCAGTATATACGAAGGGAGACAGACTCGCAAACCCTCATGTAGTGGAACATACAGTACCTCTGGAACATATCGATATCGATGCAGGTGCTACCTTGAAGCTACTATTAGTACAGAACTGCTCTTCCTCACCGGGCCCAGACGGGTTACATCCACATTTTCTCAAGATGGATGCAGAATTCATTGCCGTCCCACTTTGTGAAATCTTTCAGCTCTCGCCTAAAGGTGGTCGACTACCTGTCGATTGGAAGACGGGTGTAGTTATGCCGAAATACAAAGGTGGAAACCGCCAGGACCCTGCGAACTATCGGATAATTTGCTTGACGTCGGTCGCCTGCAAGATCATGGAAAAGCTCATTAAATCTGCTCTCCACCGACACTGCGAGGATCTGAACTTCCCTTCAGTCATCCAGCATGGCTTCCTAAAGGGGCACTCCCGCATCACTAACCTGTTGGTCGCTAGAGAGAAGTGGGCTAAATCAGTGGACGATGGAAAACGCTTAGACGTGGTCTTCATCGACTTCAGCAAAGCTTTTGACAGAGTCCCACATCAGGAACTACTCTCTAAGCTCTGCGGAATTGGCGTGATAGGGAACCTCCTACCATGGTTCAGTGACTTCTTGCAACGCTGGAACATGCAAGTCAAAGTAAACGATGACCTTTCATTCCCCGTGCCTATGGATATTGGTGTACCACAAGGCTCCGTTCTCGGACCGGAATTGTTCAAGATTTATATCAATGATCTACCAAGTATGCTACAAACGGACTGTCTGATCTATGCAGACGAGCTCAAGCTATGGTCGGAAGTGTCCAGCCTCGAAGAAGCCGACCAATTACAGGAAACGCTTGATCTACTACACTATTGGTCTATCAAGTAAGGTTTGTCGGGCAACAAAGATAAATGCCCAGTCCTTTCTATAGATGCTGCTGAACCACTGGGCATCTATCACTTTGGCGGGCACCTACTCATGATTGCCACACGGGAAAAGGACCTGGGGAAAATAATCTCCTCTGATCTCAAAACGACCCTTGACACGTTAAAGAAAACTGCTGCGACGAACAGGATGTGGGGCGCCATAAGAAGATCATTCCCTAAAATGGCGCCGCAGATATTTAGACTTATCTTCACCTCACATATCCCTCCCATTCTTGAATTCGGACATCCGGCCATAGCCCCTTTATCTAAACGTAAAATGACAAGATAGAAAATATTCAGCGACGAGCCTCGAAATTTGTCCTTTTGCTACGCAACCTCCCGTACCCCACCCGACTACAGAGGATGAACCTTTTTCCCTTAGACTATTGCCGACGTCGGGAAACCTCATCTATAACAGGCGCATCCTACGAGGAGACCTGGGAAACGAGCTAAGGCAGTTCTTTCAGCTAAGACTTGGCAGCTCGACTCGAGGTCACAGCTGGAAGCTTTTTAACCGAGGAGGCTCAAAGTCCGCTCAGATGTTGCTCTCTCTACTCGAGTAATTAATGATTGCAACCGACTGCCGGACCCAATTTTCAATGCGCAATCAGAAGCGAGTTTCAAACGCCTGATATACCTCTTTCTACTGAGTTCCCCAGGATCCTGCAGGACTCATAGTACATCCTGAGCCATGACAGCCAAGTCGCCTGCAATCCTTGGAAGATCGGGAAGCGAAGGAGCTGACACGGGACCGCCCTTCTGCTATCTACCACTCAATGAACTCAATAAATTAGCTTTACTTTGGCCCAGGTATAATGCTGGCGCTTTTCCAGCAGTCAGCACTATTCCACTTACATGCACAAAGTTTATAGGTCAGCAAGAGGCTGGACAGAAGGTTCAAGTTCAAGTGCTAATGGGACTAGACGTAAGTGTTCCTTCTTGAGCGGGTCATCGATCCAGGAGTTGATAGGGATGCTCCGACTGCTTGCTGGGTCTAAAAGGAAAACATTCGCAAAACAACCTGGTCCACCAATTTAATGCTTACGTTCCTTACATTAGCTGTCCCTTCTATGTCAGGTACGTGAAGTAATTAAGAGAGCAAGAAAAATGGAAGGTAGGAGCAATGGAAATCAGTTTAAAGAAGAGAATAATACCAATAGCGAGGAAAAGTAAAGAGAATAGGATCAAACTCTAAAGGTGGGTATTAGTCAAGAAAAAGGAAATGTTTTATGTTGCCACCGAAGAGCGTCTAGTTGTCGCTCAAACCCCTTAAGAGCATCTTCATTGACAACAATTTCTGGAAGCAAGTTCCAGCGCTCGAGGATTCGACGAGATAACCGTTTCTCTGCTCTAACTCTATCGGGAGGCGGTTTGTTCCGCCGGCTTGCCGAACAACGGCTGGCTTGCAGAATAACCTCCTGGTGGCGCCAGCTGGGTGGTTCGGGAATTTCCCGTCCCAGCAAATGGTTCGGCGGCAGTGTTCCACGACGTGGTAGTTTTCGCCTGGTAAGCGTTCTCCCTATAAAAAGCCACATATGTCCGTTCAACAACCCTGTGATTTGGTGGACCTGGCTCGCCACTAACGAAAGTCACCGCTCCTTGCTTCATCCTGGCGAAGCCTTGTATTCTAGCAAGTTTTGCTGTAATTTTGGAGAGCATTTGGCCCCTGTTTGGCAAAGGAGCAAACGCATGGCATATGAACTGAGCAATCAGTCACGGGCTCCCAATGGTCGCGATCCCCTGATTTCGCTCCGCTGCATTGCGGGCGGGCTATTCAGCCAAAGGCTCGGGGTGGTGTCCCCTTAGTCAACCCCTACTTTGGCTTGGGCAACCAGGTATTATCCCGCCCTCTGACGGAAGCATGGACTATAATGTGTTGTGTTGCGTTTTGTTTTACGATTTCTGTTCCTTGTTCTGAGTTCCATGGCTTCCGATGGCTCAATATCTATGTATAGGCTGTTGCAATATATATATATATTTATATATAGCGGGAGAGCCTAAGTTGCGCTGAGGCTGGTGGTGTCTAAATCCTGACAGATGGTCTACCCACTGCTGCTATTGCTGCGCAATAGTCTCATGTCCTGGTCCCCTCCTGGTGGCGACGGCTGGGTGGGAATTCGGTTTCGCCCTTCTCCCTGCTGAGATCCAAGTCACCAATCCGCATGAGTCAGTGAACTGACCATTGTTAGACCCGCTGTCTTTCAGGTGTACATTTAATCGAAGGCTTTGTCTGAGGACTCAATTCGTTCTCCTGTCAAGATTGGGCGCCCTACCAGTATCCTAGTCCATCCTATTCAGAGGTTAGGAAGTAGTTGATTGCCCTCTTCCCGTAAAGCCTAGCCATGGGAGGCAACAGGTCTACGGTTTATAAGCTCACAGCTCGATTGACGTAGAGCGCGAGCGTGACGCATTGTCTCTAACGGTGGGAGGGCACCTCCGGGTGTTCAATGGCTTTCTACTGCCCGCCTCAAGCCAGGCAGCCCAGTCAAATTGGTGCAAACCCGCCAAAACCCACCTGCGTCAAGCCGCGGTTGCAGGTGCGTATCCTGGTACGGTCGCAAAACAAAAATAAAACGTTCCAGAACCTCAAAGGCTGCGGGTGACGGCCGTCAAGCAGATCCCAATCTGTCTCTGCAATCACATTCCCTAGCTGGATCTGCTCCCGACTGCCTTGTGGGTCAGGTTATTGAGCCAATGTCTCCAAACGGACACCCTTAAGAAAACCTCCAGACCACCCACTGCCCTGTGGGTCAGGC